TATGTGGGCAAAATCATTTCAGCAGACGGTTACAAAATGGATGAAAAAGAGGTACAAGCAGTACGAGCTTTGAAGGACAACCCACCAACAAACATTAAAGAGCTGAGAAAGCTTTTAGGATTTTTAGGATACTACCAAAGCTATGTACAAGATTTTTCAAGACATGCAATATATATGATTTACTCTCAGTTGACCACACCCAAACACCAGCGCAGTCAGCCAAGGTGGGGCATGCTGCACCCACCCAAAAAATCATATGGAGTGACAGCCACCAAAAAGCACTAGACTATTTGGTGGATGTTTTGACTAATCCACCCGTGATGGCTTATCCTAAGTTTGAGGAACCTTCATTCTGCACATCGATGCATCAGAAGAAGGCCTTGGTGCAGTATTGTACCAGAGGCAGGACAGTAAATTAAGAGTAATTGGATATGGATCAAGAACATTAACACAGGCTGAGAAGAACTACCGGTGGCACTCAGGGAAACTTGAGTTTTTGGCACTAAAATGGGCGGTGACTGAGCGCTTTAGAGACTATTTGTTCTATGCTCCCTCAGTGACAGTATACAGTGACAACAACCCTTTAACCTATGTTTTAGGCACAGCTAAACTGAATGCGACAGGACACAGATGGGTTTCCGAGCTGGCTGATTTTAACATAACACTGAAATACCGACCTGGAAAAAGTAACGTGGATACAGACTTTTTGTCCAGAACATCTTCTAGTATGGACTCATACATGTCAGAATGTACTGAGCTGTGTTTGCCTGAAGTGTTAAGCGCAGTACTGAATGCCATTGAAACACAGGAAGAAAAACAACTGGATTGGATATCAGCTATAACGTGCAATCCAGAAGTAAATAAAATACTTACAGAAACTCAGCCAGATGTGAGAATCACAACGCAGGAGCTATTACGAGCTCAAAAGCAGGACTCTGCCGTTGCTTATGTTCTCAACTTAAAGAGTACAGGTGCAAGCTTTGACAAAACATCAGCGACCAAAAATCCTAAAGTAAAACAGCTACTACATGAGTGGAAAAAGCTGTTTATTTCAGATGATGGGTTGCTGATACGAAAGACTGTGACTTATACTCAGATTGTGATTCCAGAATCGTACAAAGAACTGGTGTACAAACACCTTCACTGCGAAATGGGTCACTTGGGGGTGGACCGTGTGATGAATTTGGCAAGGAGTAGGTTTTATTGGCCGAATATGTACAAAGATATTGAGTTTTTTATCACACAGGTAATATTCAGAAAAAACCTACAGTTCAGCGTAGGGCCCCCATGTGTCACGTGCCGGCTACTGCACCCTTTGAAATGGTTTCAATAGACTATGTCCATCTCGAAAAGAGCAGGGGAGGGTATGAGTATATTTTAGTGTTACAGGACAACTTCACCAAGTTTGCTCAAGCCTACCCTACACGCAACAAATCTGGCAAAACAGCAGCAGATGAAAATTTTAATGACTTTTCCTTGAAATTTGGTTTTCCTGGTAAATTACATCATGATCAAGGCAGAGAATTCTAAAACCATTTATTCAAACAGCTGCAGAAGTACACAGGAATAGCTAATTCAAAGACTACACCCTACCATCCACAGGGGAACCCAGTGGAAAGGTTTAATCGCACCTTGCTGTCAATGCTGTGGACCCTGGATGAGGAAACGAAAGAAAACTGGAGTGACTATGTAAACAAAGTTGTGCATGCCTATAATTGCACAACTAGTGACTCGACAGGATACTCGCCCTTTTATTTACTCTTTGGTAGACATCCACGTCTCCCTATTGATGTAATTTTTGGACTGAGTGAGACAAACAAATGCAAATCACATGAGGAGTATGCTCACAAATGGCAACAACAGATGAAAGAAGCATATGACATTGC